ACCTTTAATTAAATAGGTTGATGTATAGGAAGCACTTTGTTTTCATAATGAAACGCTCTTTTTTTTCTTCTTTTTCTTCTTCTACTTCTTCTTAAGATCTGCGCAAAGATCTTGTCGACATGGCAGCAGAAGCAGCAGCAGCACTTCGGAGAGAGATGAGGAAAAAAAAATTAAATGATTTCTTCAATATCTGGGAGGAGCAAAATATATATAGAGGTCGTTCGCGTAAAGAGATAGGGGTTTTATTCAATTATGCAGGAAATTGATGTCACTTCTCCAAGGAGTGATTTTGGCTGAGAAGAAAGACAAGCCTTTAATGATCTTTTTTTTTTTTTAAATCGTCAAGCCAACATTTCAAATTTACGGCCTAAGGAATAATGTAGGATAAGTTTTTTTTTATATATAATAATTACATTATTTTTAGTAATTAAATATTTTTTGACTGACTAAAATTGACCTGTACTACTAGTTCTTAAAATATGCCATTATTTTTCAGTACTCTGTCTATAGTTTAATATTTAAATAATAATTATTATAATACTGAATCTTAACTTAATAAACATGTAATAATTCCAAAAAAAAATTGTTAACCGAAAATTAAAAAACAAGAAAAATAAATTGAATATAGTTTATTTTTAATAAAATTTTTTTAGTTTATTTTACTTTTGTTCGGGAAATACAAGGAAGAAAATGGTTAACAATTTTATTAATAAATTATATTTTGTGAGGGCGCAATCATAAAATTTTATGTTACCACTTAATCAAAAGATGAATATTCAATTTGGCAGCGCTATACATGAATATTTTGAATTATTATTTCAGCTAAATTGTAAAAACGTTAATTAAAAATAGTTATTCTCATTTCGTTTATGGAGAGCAGTGTGTTATATTTCGAGTGGAAGGGAAAATACAATGGGTTTTTGTCATTTTGAAAAACGAGATGCAATGTCGATTTTGAAATTGTTAGATTATCACCGCACATGTGATAATAAAGTATATATTCGTTATTATTTATAACGTATAGGAAAATAAGTCCTTTTGGCATTACAAATCCAATCAACTATAAACTACAAATAGATCATGATAATGCATGTTTCTGAAATGCGATATACAAATTATTTTCTTCAATATTTTATTACTATTATTATTATTATTATTATTATTATTATTATTATTATTATTATTATTATTATTATTATTATTATTATTATTATTATTATTATTATTATTATTATTATTACTATTATTATTACTATTATTAACACTTTATTGTTTTTCATTATAAAGAAATAAATAGATAAAATAAAATAATAAATAAAAATTATTAATTATTGTCTCTTTTATTATAAATAAATAAAAAAAAGACTACTACTGCTTATCTTAATTAAGAAAAATTGTTATAAACTAATTAAAGCAAGTAGTTTAAATATTGAAACTGTCTGACTAAATAAATAAGAAAATAAAAAATAAGAAAAAAAATAAGAAAAAATAAGAAATAAGAAAAATTATTATTAATAAATGAAGCTGTAGATTAAATATTTAAATCTTTTATCCTCAAAATCACAATGTTGAAAAAAGTAGTCAAGTATTTTTAGGTCTGACTAAAACTGACACCTATACTACTGAATTTTTATGGAGAAAAATTGTTATTAATATAAGAAGCTGAAAATTAAGTTTTAAAATATTTTAGCTTCAAAATGGTATTAAAAAATTTAAATATTTCTTTGTCTGACAAAAACTGACCTATACTACTGATTTTTAATTAAGAAAAATTATTATTAAGAACTAAAGATCTAGATTAAATATGAAATTGTTTTTTTTTGAAAAAGTTGTGAAATTAAATAAATAATTCAACAACAAATGTGATATCCAGCTGATAAAAATTTTGAGAATTAGAAAAAATAAATTTAATCCTTTTTTTCTCGAATTTTAATTGTTTGACAACGTACGGGTGAACCTGCTACAAGTGAAAAGTTAAAATAAAAATTTATATCCTTAAGAATGTTGTTAAGCAACATTTCAGCAACAATTCAGGATATTATCAGATGATAAAAATTATTATAATTTAAAAAAATAAATTTCTTTTTCACAAATAAAAAAAAAATGGAACATAAAAAGAAATAAAATCTTCATAGAAATTTAATTAATTTCAATAATTTATCAAAATTAAATTATTTTCAATATCTACTATTTCAATAAAATTTCACAAAAGAATTTAATTATTCAAAAAGAAATATTAAAATTCGTCTCAATAAGAATATAATTGTTTTGAAAAGTAATAAAATTCTTTGCAGAAATTCAATTATGGTTAAAAGTTTGAAAAAATTCTCTTCTAAATTTCAATTATAAATAATAAAATTTTTCTCCAAAATTCAATGATTTTCAAAAATTTTAATAAAATTCTTTGCAAAATTTCAATTATTTTCAAAAATTTTCTTTATTTCAATCAAATTTTTCACAGAGATTCAATTATTTTCATTACAATTTTAATCTAATTTCTCAAAAAATAAAAACTATTCTTAAAAATGTTATTAAAATTTGTTAAAAAAAATTTTAGTTACATATTTAAAAATTTGTTGATAAAATTATTTTTAAGAGTTCAATTTAAAAAAAATTCAATTCTTTAATAAATTATTTATTTTTGTATTTAAATAATTTTGAATTCTCGTAAAATTTCCTAATAAAAAGTGATTTAAATATGAATTTCAGTTAAAATTTATTAGATAATAATAATCGAATACTAAACTCTTTAAATTTGAATTAGTAAAAATGTTTTTAATTTGAATTAGTCACTGACTTTTTGCTTTTAAATTAGCAGATTTTACTAAATAAATAGTAATTTCTTCTAATTTATTAGTGAAATTTACTAATTCAAAAGCAAAAAGTCAGTCACTAATTCCAATTGGTAAACATTTTTACTAATTCAAATTTAGAGAGAAAGTATGATGGCGTGAATTTTTAGAAATAATTTAATTTTGAAATGGTTTCAAATTATAATCTTTGAATATTTGAATTTTTCATACTTTCATAATTTTCATACTAAAAATTGAGTAGATTTAAATTTTTCGAAAAAGTTTAATTGAATTTTTTTAAAATTTATTTGAATTAATTTTTAATTAATTTTAATTTTAATTATTTTATAAAACATAAAGATATCGATTGCTCCGAGTCGAAGACTCGGAATGATCGATTACTTCATGTTTTATAACAATTTTTTATAAGTTGTTTAATTTCAAAAAGGTTTGAATTTAAATCTTTTGAAGAATTTTTATTCTTAGGGAAAAATTATAATGACTAATTATTTAATTTTGTAAAATATAAATGTGGTTTTAAAAACCTGGAAAAATTCCAATCTTTTAGCCTCTGGAAAACTTGGAAAAGTCATAGAGAATTTGATATGAGCAAAATCGGATAAAAAAATACAAATCGAATATCTATTATATTGATGTGTATGGAATATATTATTATATCTGTTGTGCATATTTGTACAATGAATGACAATAATGTAATAAAAAATTTGATCTTTTTATGGGCATAAAATATATATATATATATATATATATATATATATATATATATATATATATATATATATATATATATATATATATATATAATATAAGATTTCTTAGTTTATCCTCATAACCGGAAATGTTCACAATGTTTCGTGACCCGAATAAAAGTTTATTTTGAAAATTTACGACCCGAATCTACCGTTCAGCAATTTATGTCATATTCTTCATATTATAACTGTACAATTTATATTTCATCTATTATTTATTTTTTTTTAATTATAATTATAAAATTTTTTTATATAAATGAACTTTTTTTTTTCTTCTCTGTATTAATATTTGGAAGTATTAATATTTGTTCTAATTTTAATACTTTTTATTTAATTTTTTTTAATAGTTTACTCCTTAATTACTTATTTAATTTTTACAAATTTAATTTTTATTGATATAATTTTTGTTTTTTTTCAATAAAATTTTCTTCTTTAATTTTTACACAAACTATATTAATATTTTTAAATTTTTAATTAAATATTTAATTTTAATAAATATTTTTAATTTAAAATAACTTTTTCTAATATTTTTTAAAAATATTTTTACTATTTAATTTTATTTTTAGTTTCTGATTATAATTGAGGGATATTTTTTAATATAAAAATTGAATTTAGAAGAAGACGTTCCTTCTGTCTGTCAAGTAGAATAAGATTTGAGAATTGAATGAATCCTCACTGACAGCATAAGTGAATCCTTCTTGACAATTCTCTGCATGGATTCTCTTATCTTCAAGTTGCATTCGCGACTGCTAACATCGAAGGAAATTGCGCATAGAATTTAATTAATCGACTCAATTTATAGAGATTCATTTTGCACGTCAAATTGTCATTTCATTGATTATAGGTCAAGAATCAAGGTCAAGTTAATGAAATCGAAAAGAAAACACACGTGTTTCGAAGAACTTAAAGCAGAAGATAGAGAATAAAAACCGATTTTTCGAATTTTATTTATTTAATAATATTGACTCCATCTTTCATAAATTTGAAATTTTTATTTATTTATTCAGTTTTCATATTTTAGAATATTTATTTTATTGTATTATAATTTTAATATTATAATTTCTCATATTTTAATTGTAATATTAATATTAACACTAAAATACTATTATTATTTTTATCATTAACTTTTATTGTTAATTTTGTTATTGATTTTTATTGCCATTGTTAATATTTAGTCGCATTTATTTATTTATGTATTTATCTACTTATTTAATTAAATGTATAAGATAAAATTATTAAATTAAAGTACGTTTTTCGTTGAAATTAACGAAATGGAAAATTATTTACAGGAAATTGATAAATGTTTTGACTGAATGTATAATAAAATTAATTAATACTTTGTAAATAAGGTCGTAGTTAATTAATGAATAGAATTCTAATTAATAATAAGGATGAGAAAGTTAACAAAGTAAAGGCAAAGTAAATAGAACGAACTTACCCTTCTTTTACTCTTTATATTATCTAATTGTCTCTGGGTAGCTTCCCCGATACTTTGTGAGCCCCACAATTCCAAGCCAACCCTTGCGTACGTGAAAGTCATCGAACCAATTGGTAAAAAGTACGTAAGAATCATAAAAACTACATTGTATCTGTAACAGAATTTTATTTATTTTTTAGTTTTATAAACATATAAAATTGGCTAAAAAATAAAATAGAAAATATTTTTAAAAAATACAAAAGATACAAAAAAGTATTGAAGAGAATGAAGAAAAAATAATAAATAAAAATACTCAAAGATACAAAAAAAATTTGGAAAATGTAGAAAGAATTACAAAAAGAAAACTAAAAAAATAAAAAAGACAAAAAATATTTTTAAAAATACAAAAGATACAAAAAAATACTAAAAGAATTGTAAAAATAATACTAAAAAAACTACAAAACAATAAAAAATAATACTAAATTAAATAACACGATTAAAAAAATACAAATAATACAAAAAGAATACTAACATAGGAATTTAAATTTCCATAAAATTTTTCAAAAAAGAAATCAAATTATTTACAAAAATTTCAATAAAATCCTTCCCAAGAATTCAATTATTTTTACAAGTAATAACATTTTTCACATGAATTCAATTATTTAAAAAAAATTGTAATAATATTCTTTCTAAGAATTCAATTATTCTCCTAAATAATAAAATTTTTCATAGGATTTCAATTATTTTCAATACAGTTTTAAATAAATTCCTCGAAAAATTTAATTATTTTCAAAATTTTTTTGCAAGAATCCAATTACATTTCACAAATATAATGAAATTATTCGTTGAAATTCAAATATTTTTAAAATCTACTATTTTAATAAAATTTCATAAATGAATTTAATTATTTAAAAAAAAATGTAATAAAATGCGTTTGAAAGAATTCAATTATTTTTCATAAATAATACAATGTTTTACAGGATTTCAATTATTTAAAAATAATTCTTTAAGAGAATTTAATTATTCTCCTAAATAATAAAATTCTTCACAGGATTTTAATTATTTTTAATCCAATTTTAAGTAAATTTTTCGAAAAATATTATTATTTTTTGAAAAATATTCAAAATTCAATTATTTTTGAAAATTATATAATGCTTTTAATATTCAATTATTATGTAAAAATTTTAGAAGGAAATTAATTTTTAAATCAATTTTTATTAGAAAATTCTACGAGAATTCAATTATTTAAATACAAAAATAAATAATTTATTGAATAAATGAATGATTTTCAAAATTGAATCCTCATAAAGAATTTTATCAACAAATTTTTAAATAATTGAAATTCTATAATGAGTTTTATTATTCGTGAAAATATATGAATCTCGGTAAAAAATTTTATTACCTATTTATGAAAATAATTTAATGTTTACTTTGAATTTTATCAACACTATTTTTAAAATAATTGAAATCTTTGGAAAAATTATATTATAAAATAATAGATAGTGAAAATGATTAAATTGAGAAAAATTTTTCAAAAATAATTGAATTTTGGAGAAGAATTTTTATTATTTTTAAAGATAATTCAAATTTTTACGTGTCATTTAAAAATTTTTTTTTGAACATAATTGAATTTCTGCCAAGAATTTTATTACTTTTGAAAAAAACAAACAAAAAGAAATACAAAAGAATAAAAGATACATAAAAGTACTAAAAATAATGCCGAAAAATACAAAAAGAATAATACAAGAAATATTTTTAAATTAGTTAAAATTTAAATAAAAAATATTTAAATAAAAAACGAAAAATATAATAATATAATAAGAAAATAAAAAATATTTAAATAAAAAAGAATTTAGAAAACACACGTTTTTGTTTTTTAAATTATGGCGCGGACATCCTTGCGATAATTATGTGATGATAATAAATGGAAAAAAGTTCCCATCGATTTTCAACTTTACCCTAATTTTACTTTTTAAAGGGTAAATGCACGTGATGACCCAACTTCCATTTTTCTTCCAACATTCAATACCAAATGTGATTAATCGACATTTCAGAAAAAAAGGAAAAAAAATCCTTTTCTCACATTTCACATTTACTTTCGTTAATTACAAATTTTTAGCTTTTATATATTTATATAAAAAAAAGTTCTATTAGTTTTAGTGGTGGATATTTTTTTAAAAGAAAAGTTTCTTTTTTCAAGCAAAAAAAAAGAGAGAGATAATTGGCATAAAATATTGTGATTTCTGGGAGAAAAATATTTCTCGACTTTTTGTGTATAAAATGGACAAAAAAAGAAAGAGAAAAAAAATTCAAATTGTGTATCTCTGAAAAAAAGAAGAAAAAAGTTTCTTTAAAGTTTAAAATATATATGTATATATTACTATATACTATATATATTCACATTTTATTTTCTTTTCTTATATTGCGAAAGTATGACTTGATAGGGGGGTTTGAGAATTACGCTACTGACCTCCTTTAAATGCATGCATGCCAGCTCTCAGTAGAAACAACACAGTTTACGTCAGACAATAATAGAAGGCCACGACAAGTTGTTGAGGAGCTTTACGAAAATACTACTACCGTCTTTCATTCAAATTTCCTCTACCGTATTTATTTTTATATTCCAACTGTTATTATTTCATAATTATATAATTATATTTATAAGAAATCTAATTAAAGGTAAACAATTTTTATTTATTAACAAATATTAATATGACTATATTATTTCAGACGTAACAAAATAGTTGTAGAATAATATCAAAATGTTTTGAGTAATTTCAAGTTCGTGAATAAATAAGAAATTCAACCTTCAATATTCAATTGTTGATTTTCAGTTCTATTTTCGACTTTCGCTATGGTTATAGTTTGAATTATGATTAATTAATTCTTATTTTGATTAAACATATAATTTTGTATGAAATTAAATTTAAATCTTAATTTTCAAAATTTGTAATTTTAGCAGCAATTAAGTTTTAATTTAAATTAAGTGATTATAATTTTGATTATTCAGTTGTTATCGTAATTATTTAAATGTAGTCTTAAACATATCTGAACAACTGATTTTTAATTAAGAAAAAGGCTCATAAAGAAAAACAAGATGTAGATTAAATATTAAAATAAAATTGTTTATTTTCAAAAGTATATATATATATTTTTTTCAAAATTAAATATTTTCAGGTCTGACTCACATTTATCTATACTACTGAATCTTGATAGGACAAATTATTTGTAATATAAGAAATTGTGGAATAACTAATAAAATTTTTTTTCTTTAAGAAATAAAATATATTTCCAGGTCTTACTTAAACTGACCTATACTACTGAATTTTAATTGAGAAAAAAAGTTGCTAGTATAAAAAACTGCAAATTAATTTTTATAATAAATATTTTATCTTGAAAAAGATGAAAAATATTGAAATATTTCTGGTCTGACTAAAACTGACCTATACTACTGAATCTTAATTAAGGAAAATTATTATTAATAAACAATTATTGAAACTGTAGTTAATATTAGAATTTTTATCAACAAATTAGGTTACAAAGAAGAAAATACATAATTTTAGGTCTGACTAGAACTGTTCTATACTACTGAATCCTGACTAAGAAAAATTCTTATTAATAAATGAAGTTGTAGATTAAATATTAGAGTTTCTATCCACAAAAAAGTAAAAAAAAATAAAAATATTTCTCGGTCTGACTAAAACTGGTCTATACTACTGATTCTTAGTTAAGAAAAATTATTATTATTACTAATTAATGCTGAAGATTAAGTAAAAAAATTGTTTATCTATGAAAAAGGTGATAAATTAAATAAATATTCCCAGGTCTGACTAAAACAAACCTATACTACTTATTCTTAATTCTGAAAAATTATTGTTTATAAAAAAAGATGTATAGAGATTAAATATTAAAATTTGTTAATCTTGAAAATCAGACTAGTAATAAATTAATTAAATATTACCAGGTCTGACTAAATCTCACTAATGCTCTTAGATTTTAATTAAGAAAAATTATTAATTTATAAATGAAGCTGTAGATCAAATATTATATTTCATTTTCAAAAAGGTTAAAAATAGAAAAATAAATAGGTATTATTAAAGTTAAATATTTCTTAGTTTGACAAAAACTGACATATACTACTGATTTTAATTAAAAAAAACCTGTTATTAAGAAATAAATCTCTAAATTAAATATTGAATATTGTTCAGTTTCAAAAAGTTGTGAAATTAAATAAATAATTCAAGGTATGATTTAAATTGACCTATTACTGAATCTCTTAATTAAGAAAAATTATTATTAATAGAAAAAGCCGTAGATTAAATGTTATAATTTTTATCAACAAAAAGGTAAAGAAATAAACATTTTCAAGTCCGACTAAAACTGACCTATACTACTGATTTTAGTGATACAAAATTGTCATCAATATAAGAAGCTCTACATTAAATTTAAAAAATATTTTAGCTTTAAAAAAGTAAGCAAAAAGTTATATATTTCCAAGTCTGACAAACATTGACCTACACGACTGAATCTTGATCAAGGAAATTATTGTTTTTAATAAAAAAAAAATCTGTATATTAGCTGTTTAAACTTTATATTTACAAAATGGTGAAAAAAATTACAAATACTTCCACGTCTGACTAAAACTGACCTATACTACTGAGTCTTGATTAAGAAACATTGTTATTAATAAAAGAAACTTTAGAATTAATATTGCAATTTTTAATTAAATAAAAATAAAGAAATACTTCCACGTCTGACTAAAACTGATCTTTACTACTGATTCTTGATTTGAAAAAATTGTTATTAACATAAGAAACATTAGAATAACTATTGCAATTTTTATTTAAAAAAAATAAAAAAATATTTCTTGGTCTGACTAAAACTGACCTATACTACTGGATCTTAATTAAAAAAATTTGATATTAATATAAGAAACTGTAAATTAGGTGTTGAAATTTTATTTACAAAAAGGTAAAAATTATTTAAATACTTAAAAGTCTGACTGAAGCTGACTTTTACTACTGATTTCTAATTAACTAAAATAATTATTAATAAGATAACTCTCTGGATTAATTATATTTAAGTCCTTCATCTTTAAAAAGGTAAATAAATAAATGAATTTAAATTTTGTTAATAATAAAATATTATGTTTATTAACCATTAAAAATTGTAATTACTTTATTGTAATTTTACAAAGTTTCGAAATAAAAAGCGCACTAGCAATAAATGTTTGAAAAAAAAAATTCAAATACAAGCACACTTGTATAATAATTACTATAAAGAAGGACGTACTTGAAACTCTAACTGCCGGATTTCGTTATAATGAAACTCTTGGTACTTTGAAAATAATAAAATCGTCAAAGTAGTAAAAAAAAAAAAAAAAAAAAAAAAACAAGAAGTTGGGGAGAAAAATCTATGATGCTTATATTGAAGTTACAGTAAGAGTATAATAAGATTTGAGAAGATATTGCGCTATTTATACTAAAGCTTTGAAATCCGTTTCACATTTCAAGATTTTCGTCTCTCCCTCACTCTCTTTCTATTTCTCTCTGTTTCACTCTTGCACACAGTATAACTGAGTTTAATTTACATTAAGCCAATTCAAATCCATTGCTATCAGAATGCTCAGTGTATACAGCTTCTTATCACCGGGGGAATAAATTAAAATGACGATAATGAAATTGCGGTTAAGTACGTAAATGGTTTGTATATGAAAATCAACAATATGCTTTGCTTTTATCAAGAGTTTGATAATTAATTATTCCCGCATTTGGCTTATCTTTCCATTTTGTCAATTAATTATTGTTATTACTCATTTTGTCAATATAATTATTACTTTCAATTACAATATTTGACATTATCTCATATTGTAAATTTAATTATTATTAATCGAACAGAGATTTTTAATAGTTTACTGAAAAATTATGTAAAAAGAAATTATTTCAAAAAATTGTAAAAGAAATTATAACAAAAATTATATCAAGATTTATTTCAGAAACAATTAAAAAACTGATGAATACAAAAATTACTCAAGAAACTAGTACAAAAATTATTACCGAAAGAATTTTAAAAATTGCTAACAAAAATTATTTCGAAAATACTTATTATTATAAAAATTATTTTAAACTAAAAATAAAAATGAATTCAAAAATTATTATACAAAAAATTATTACAGAAATTATTTATAAACTCATAACAAAAATTATTTTAGAAATTAATAGAAAAATTATTAGTACAAAAATTATTTAAAAATTGTTGAAAAAAAAGTTTTTAAATAAAGAGAATTTATATACATTACAATTAAAAGTTGCATTTATTTTTATGTCTGTAATAATATATATTTTTTTCCCCGGCAAAATTGAAAAACTTTTCACATTTTAGTTTAGAGCAAAAATTTTTACGACTTTTTCGAAAATTGAATTCTCCTAGGAAGTGCGATCTCTGGACGTATTCAGTTTTGTAATATTATTTATTATTATCATAACAAAAATGTTGAAATGCTGTAAAGCTCTCGATTATTCAGGCGTATAATATATTGAATGGAAAAATTATGTCCGTTTTCCAGAATTGAACACATTGAATAATAAAGGTAATAAAATTATTTATTTTATGCTCGGAACATATTACAATTCAAAAATTGTATACAGTACAAAAAAATTTATCTTTAGTTATTTCTTTTTTAAAAAAAAATTTAATTTCTGCTCTTTTCATTTACGTTGATAAATTATTTTCAATTACAAATTTTTCTGTTGAATTAATTTTTTTTAAGAAACTACTTAGTATAGCTTCACTTTTCTTTTAAGTAGTTAACTTTTTTTTTATCAAACAAACTTCTTTTTTACTTTTTTTAAATAAATTAATTAGTGTGTTTTTCTCCCTTCGTTTAAAAGTTATTGAATTTTTTTTTCTCAATTGAAATATTTTTACTTATTTAGAAAAACTATTTAGTTATTTTTCTTTTTGGTCTGTTCAATTTTTTTTTTTATAAACTCTAAAAAAATTTTTTTCTTCAATTCGCTGACACATTTAAAATACAAAAGATTGAATGAATTATTTATTTAAAAACGGTAGTTTGATAAACAAAAATTGTTTTATAAAAAATTATTGGGTCAGTAGCGTCTACAGTAAATAAATGAAATTGTATAAGAGGTAATTATTTTATAAAGCATTTTTGTATAAAAAATATTTATTTATATTGTTTATATGATATAAAATTATTTAATACAAAATTAATTTATACAAAACTTAATTAATAAAAACTATTTAATAAAAAATTATTTTATGAAGAATTATTTTATAAAAAATTATTTTATAAAGAATTATTTAATAAAATAATATTTTTTAAAATATTATTCAATAAAAAAATATTTTCTAAAAAATATCTTTAATAATAAGTAATGAAATAATACAAATTTTTAATAATTAATATTTTAATATAAAAATATTTTAAAAAGAAAAAATATTTCAATATATGAAAATATTTAAAAAGGAAAAAATATTTTAATATAAAAATTGTTCATTAAACCTCCAGTTCTATATTAGTTTTAGTAAATATAAAGGATTAGAATAAAAAAAAATTGTATGTGAAATAAATCAAATTAATGCGAAAGTCCTTTAAAATGTGACTCACCATATGGTGCCGTCGTTTTATTAAAAAAGTTTCCTTTGTTGGGTAAAAGAATGTAAACTGCATCTTGATTTACATTTACGAGAGAATATTTATAAGGTAAAAAATGTAGAATTTTATTTTAATGACAGATTTCGGATTTTTTTGGTATTTTTAATTATTAATTTCATGTGAGCTTTTTTTTATCTTTTTTTATGTTCGTCTCTAATTTATAAATAATCTTTCTCTATATTTAATTTTATTCAACTCAATACTTTTTTTTATTATTAAATAAAAGTTTAACCACTGTTATTTTATTATTATTTCTGTTATTATTATTTTAATACACATGGGCACAAAAGAGAAACTATTTTGAATTTGGGTCACAATGGAAGATCAGGAATGAACCTTTGCAATTACCGCAAAATGGAATAGGTAATTACAAGCTGATTACAATGTAAACCTTTGATTGTTAAGGAATCCTCTCTATCGATAGGGGAAATAATCACAAATAAATATTTTATTGCTAATTTTTATTATTTTTAAATATTTTTCCACAGTTTTTATTTTTTACTGTTTTTCTCTACTTTACTGTTTTATTATTTTTATATTAATATTATTTATTATTAATGATATTTTGTTCTAAAATTTTTAGATAATAAATAGTAATTTAAATTATTCTAAAGTATTGAAATTAACAAAAATTTAAATTTTAAAGTCTATTAAAATAATAAATAGTATACTAAATATTTTTATTTTTGATAATAATTAAAATTATTCTAAAATATTGAAATTGACAAAAAATTAAACTTTAAAGTTTATTAAAATTGTTTCATTTTTACGAGAAATGAATTAAATTTAGAAATTAATCATTCAGAAAAAAAAATGTCTTTGCAATTTTTTTTTGCTTCTTACTTTTCAACATTTTATTTTCTTTGTTCTTAAATTTGAATTTTTACAAAGAAAATATGTAGAATATTCTATTTATGATTTGGATAATAATTTTTTATTACTATTTTTAATTTGGAGAATAATTTTTTTCTCTTGATAAATGTGGGAATAAAAAATTGTTAAATACAAGGGAGGAGAGTACTTAAAAGAACGATACTTACAAATATTCACCACTTTCATTCGGCCATTGACTATAACATATCACTCGAACTTCTCCATTTGTGAAGGTATGTGTAAAGGTTGTAAAGAAAAGTAACATGGGAAGAGATAAAACAGCTCCCACGATCCAAATGGCAATTGCTATACATAGAGTGGTTCTTCTTCCCAAGCGAGGTTTCAGAGGATTCATTATGGCCATGTACCTGTGAACAATGAATTTTCATTTATTTTCATTTATTTTTTCTTACATTTTATTCCATTTCAAAATTTTTTTACTTTCAGAAATTTAAATTTAAGAAATTATTTATAATTTCTTTGCCAAGCAATGCGAGTATAGTGTAAATATTGCGAGAAATACAAATTTTTAATATGTGAATATTGTGAATAATTCAAATACTAATATTTAATAATACTAATAATATTTTACAATTTTTATTAATAATAATATTTTATTTTGTTTATAGACTATATGTTTTTAGTAATTAAAATAATGATAATAATGTAAATATTGAGTAAATAATGAAAATAATAATGAATGTATAATGCAAATAATTCTGTAGACAAATAATTTTGTATAGTATTTTGTTCAAAGAAAAGTTTTAATTGGAACAGCTGAAAATTTTACTATATTAGCAAATTTTCTTTTTTGTTATTTTAATTAAAACTTTTGCTATTCAAGAGAAATTTATCGCTGTTTCAAGTAAGACATTTTTTTCGGCGTAAAAAGAAGTATAAATCCTTCCTATACAATTTTCATAAAAACACCCTTAAGGGCATGTGACATTACGCGTAATTGGGCGTGATATTAAAAAATCTCTCAACAGTTTAACTTTAATTTTACAAATTAGAAGCATTTTATATTACTTTCCATCATTTTTGATGAAAAAAATTTCGATTTTAATATTTTGTATTTTCCTTTAATTATATAAGTCATTATATCTTCTATAAGAAATGGATGATTAATAATTATTTATCTAACATATTGAGTTATATAATAATCTCCTTATTTTCAATCTTAATCTACAACGTATTAAGTGTAAATTATTCTGAATTATTAACGAAATAGTGTTGCGGGTGAAAATAAACTTTGCTATATATAATATTGTAATCTGATATACACAGGTATCATACACCTGCTGGGATATTTAAGCCCGGAACTGTTTAAAATTCACTGACTAATCTTCGGGATTTACTAGTGTGAATAATATATACATAAGATTTTGAGATTCTTATCGTTAAGAATTCATCAAAATAAAGATAAAAAAAAAGAAAAAAATTGTAGAAAAAGATATTACGATTTTTTCGTCTATTAAATCTTTTTGTCTATAATATATTTAGAAATAATTGTTTTCTTTACAAAAAAAATTAGTTATTATTGGATTCAAATGTTCTGAAAAGAAATTTTTTTAATAGTTTTGAAAGTATTGCCAAACATTTTTTTTTACTACTGAAACTAATATTAAATGGGTCTGACTAAAACCTACTTCCACTACTGAAATTAAAATAAAACATTTCTGACTATAAATTACTTTTACTATTGAAACTAAGATTAAAATAGTCTGACTAAAACTTACTTTTACTACTGAAATTGTTTTTAAATATACTAACTACAGCTTAATTTTACTTTTGAAACTAATATTAAACAAGTCTGACTAAAACTGTCTTTTACTACTAAAACTAACATTGTACAAGTCTGACAAAAGTTTACTTAGACTACTAAAATTAACATTAAATTAAATTAAATGTTAATTTCTACTTAAACTGAATAATAAAAAGAATATAATTTTATCCGTTTTACCAAAAGTTTACATAATTTTTTTCGTATTTAAAAAATGTTTAAGTGTTCTGTCTAAGTAAAAATTTTCTCTAACTACTTCCAAGAAAGTGAAAATTACAAATTGTAAAATTTGTCTGACTTAAAGTTACTTATACTACTGAAAATTAAAATTTTTTTCACTTCAACAAAAATTTTTTAGAAAAATTAATATCTGATTCTTGAAAGGAAATTTAAGGATATAATTAAATTTGTCTGGCTAAAAAGTACTTGTACTACTTAAACTAAATCGAAAGCATTTAATTAAATTTGCCTCGATAAAAAGAACATCTACTACTTTAACTAAATATCAATAATTCAATATAACGTGTCTGACTAAAAGGTAATTTTACTACTTAAACCGAATATAAAGAATTCGAGTAAATATGTCTGACCAAAAAGTAATTTTACTACTTATAATATACAAGGGTTTAATTAAATATGCCTGTCTAAAAAGTACTTTTACTACTTAAAATAATTCCTAAAGAATTAATTAAATATGCCTGGCAAAAAGTACTTTTACTACTTTGACTGAATATAAATACTAAATCGATAAAATATGTCTGACTAAAAGGTAATTTTACTACTTAATCTGAATATAAGGAATTAAATCAAAATATGTCGGACTAAAAAATAATTTTACTACTTATAATGATTACAGGGGTTTAATTAAATATGTCTGACTAAAAAAGTACTTGTACTACTTAAATTAAATCTAAAGTCACACATGTCTGACTAAAACTTTTTTTTACTACTTAAACATAATATAAATAATTCAATAAAACGTGTCCGACTAAAAATTAGTTTAACTACTTTGAACAAAGTGAAAATTTTATTTTGTACGATTTGTCTGACTTAAACTTACTTATACTACTGAAAATAAAAATTCCGTCTACTAAAATGATAATTTTTGAGAAAAATTGACGTCTGCTACAACGGAATGAAATTTAAGAATATAATTAAATTTGTCTGAATAAAAAGTACTTGTACTACTTAAATTAAATCTAAAGTCACACATGTCTGACTAAAACGTTCTTTCACTACTTAAACATAATATAAATAATTCAATAAAACGTGTCCGACTAAAAATTAGTTTAACTACTTTGAGCAAAGTGGAAATTTTATTTTGTACGATTTGTCTGACTTAAACTTACTTATACTACTGAAAATAAACATTTCGTCTACTGAAATAATAATTTTTGAGAAAAATTGACGTATGCTACAACGGAATGAAATTTAAGAATATAATTAAATTTGTCTGAATAAAAAGTACTTGTACTACTTAAATTAAATCGAAAGCCACACATGTCTGACTAAAACGTTCTTTCACTACTTAAACATAATATAAATAATTCAATAAAACGTGTCCGACTAAAAATTAGTTTAACTACTTTGACCAAAGTGGAAAATACATTTTGTACTATTTTTTGTCCGAGTTAAACTTACTTATACTACTAAAAAAATAAAAATATAAATTAAACTTGTCTGTCTAAAAAGTACTTGTTCTACTTAAAATAATTGAAGTCTATGTCTGACTAAAAAGTGGTTTTACTACTTAAACTGAATATTAAGAATTCAGTAACATGTGTTTGACTAAAAAATAATTTTACTACTTATACTGAATACAGAGAATTGAATTATTTATGTCTGACTAGAAAGTTTTTTTTACTACTTAAACCAAAGGTTTAATTAAATATGCCTGACTAGAAATTAATTTTACTACTTCAATTTAATAAAAAAGTGTGGCTAAAAGTACTTTTACTACTTAAATTGGAACTAAAGTTTTCATAAAAATCTGCCTGTCTAAAATCAGTTATTACTACTGAAACTGAATCCAAATATCATTTTTCTTTCGATTCTAAATTTCAAAAACTTACAACCAAATTATAAATTTCTCCATTCGGCACAAAATTCCCACTCTCCATCAATCATAATTTAGGTACATTATTCTTTCAAAAAATGTATCAATCATGCAAAAAAAGAAGTAGTATAAATCGCGTTGGCTTTTATAGATCATAATGTGTGTAACAATTTGTCAATATAAAACTCTACTCTTCTTGTCAAAAAAAAAATCAAAAAAATGCAAAAATGATAAATGTAGATAAAAGAAAAGTATTTTTTTTTGTCCCTCGTGACAATTGAATAAAGGAGTTATGTTGGACGTTTTAAAAATTGTCACACCAAGAAGCCATACAATAGAAGTGAGATGATAAATTACATAATGCACAGTGTGCCAATGCATAATGCACCAGCTTACCATTATAATATGTTGTGTGGTAGAGCATGTGAACTGCCAATATCAGGCGAATAGAGAATTTCCTCTATACGGGCGTACTTCGTTAACTTATAGAATATGTGCAAACTTTTAGGTGCAATAGTTCATTTTAAGAGCTACGCTCAATGACAACGTACATTATACATACACACTGTTCTCCGCCTATAATAAATTCTCTTTGTGTGTTGAAATTTTCTTTCTTGTATTTTTTGGTGTTCTTTTTTTATATAATGTACTGTATGACGTAATATTGAGTTTTACTACTTTGGTTTTATAATTTCTTTTTCAAATTCTTGATAAATTCTTGATAAATTCTTTAAAATTTCTTTAGTTGTTTATTTTTCATTGTTAATAATATTATTTGTATTTTTTATCTTTGTATTTTTTTCTTTCTTTCTTTCTTTATTTTATATTTATCTTTATTTTTTTTCTAATAGTTTTTATTAAGTGACGTCTGACAAATAATGACTTTTACTACTTACAGGGCTCGAACCAGTGAAAGTATTTAAAAATACGGACTTTACGGACCAAAAATGAAAAATTACGGACCAATTATAATGACAAATATATAACCAGTCCGAGTGATGAAATCATTAACAATTCAATTATTATTTACAAGAATTTTTGACTAATATTCTTTAAATCGATTATTTTTAATAATTTTCAAAAAAGTTCTTTGACAATTTTCAAATCCATTTGTTCACAATATTCAATTTTACGAAACTTCAATTATTCGTAAATTCTTCTATTAAATAAATATTAGAAAATAAAAATTCAAAATAATATTAAAAAAATTTAATTAAACATTTTCAAAAAAATTAATTTTAATATTCAATTATTATCTAAAATTTTAAATGAAATTAATTTTTAAATCAATTTTTATTAGAAAATTCTACTAGTATTCAATGATTTAAATACAATAATAAATAATTTATTGAATAATTGAATGTTTCTTAAAATTAAATTCTATCAACGAATTTTAATAAAATTTTTAAAAATAATTACAATAATTTGTAACTTTTCCAAAATTAAATTTTTTTTCCTGTTTTTAACTAAACATCTTCTATAAATCCATTATTTTTAATAATTTTTGAAAAGGTTCTGAAAAAATCCGCA